TCGACGTATATAAATATTAATAATCTTTGGAATTTCAATGTACGTTGTATTGCCGACATAACTGCAGGACAGCGCAAGCAATTTTGGAGGGTTAAAAATGTGAAGATTATTAGGTATCTGCGTATCGACAATTTGGCTTACAGAGTAAGGGATAAACTTATTCTCTATCTCACTAGCATGTAGAATGTATTAAGGCCTAGTAAGTTTATATCAGAATTATCGTATTTGCACTATGAATATTCCAAACTTACTTACTATTCCGGTGGTACAAGTAGTTAAGATTTACTTATTGATTCCGACTCGGTAACTTATTGATTCGGTCACCAGCAATTTTTTCAGCTGCAAAAAAAATTAGCCGAAACTTTTTTTTACAGATACCTAAACTTTGAACGAAGATTACTCGGAATTTACCTAACCAAATTTGATCAATTTTTTTTTTATTAAATCTGAGATTATAGAATTATAATAAAAAAATTTTATCATTTCTGCTGATTTTTGATAATAAATAAATGCCTTATTGTTGTCCAATTCCATCGCGATAACAATCACCGAGGCAATTGATTCCATATGAATCTCCATATCTGCCGATTTTTGATACCAAATAAATGCTTTATGATAGTCTTTTTCAGCTTCGTTTCCATATTGATAACAACTACCGAGATCACGCATTCCATTAGAATTTCCCAACTCGATTGATTTTTGATAAGGAGTAAATGCCTTATAATCATCCTTTTAATCCACTATCCAACATCATAGCAAATTGCAAGAATTTGTTGAATGACAGAATTATTCTGAACAATAGGATTTGTTTGGTTGTTTAAACATAAGTTGGTTATTTCTTCTGGTTTTTGCTGCAATATTTCATATGCTCATCTATTGAATAAATTATTGAGTCGTTGTAATTTCCTTTAATAATTTCTTTATTATACTAGGTAAATAGAAGCCATTTAAGGTCCGAAGGACTTATCACGGATCAGTCCGACAATGGGTATTTTCGGAGCAAATGTTTGTTTTTATCAATCAACCAATCAAACCCCTTAATTTGCGGACACACACACAACCAGGTCACTATGACTATCCCGTAATGTCCTTCGGACAATAGATTACATAATTCTTCTATTATCGAATTTAAAAAAAAATCTTGTGAATAATGCAACGATAAATATGCTAATTTTGAAATATTAGTAAGATTATCTTTGTAAGTGTCTGACAAGCCTTTCTCGTTCGACATGATTTCAGATGTGTAATCAAAATTATAAGGCATGTTACGTAAGTACGTACATACATACGTACATACTGTATGTATGTTTAATTATCAGTCGATCGAGATGTCACACTTGATTTTTTATCATATGATTTTCATAAATTACGCAAATCGATGAAATCACGTTTTTAGAATTTTCACACAAAGTCTTAGTCATAACATACAATGTTCCTTTAAACAAATAAGTTGCCAGGGCTTCAACGAATCGAACAGTATAAAGAATATGAAAAACTACCCTCACCCAGTAATGAGCAACTTCCTTAAAGGTGAGCAATTATTTTGCCATCTTTTGCATGATTCTTTTGGAGTTTTCAAGATCTTGACACAAAAAATAGCTTGTTAGATGTGTGCGCTTGAGAACTTCTTGTGAAATGTATCTTTGAAAGAAGGGTGTCTTGTAAAAATGTGGAGAAAATTAAGAAAAACTATTTTATAGCAATTTTGCTATTAGATTTTTATTTATTTTTAACATGAAAATATACAAGCTTATAATAAATATATACAGGATAAGTTATTTTTTCATTAAATTTTTTTGGCTTACAATATTTTGCAAAATTTATAGTTTCTAAGATATCTTTTTTATCTCTTATATTAGTTATGCTACTATTCTGAATTCATTTTGGCATCTAATATTCATAAGTGAAGCATGATATATAACTTTCAAGGCTTGAATTCAGAAGGTGGATTAGCTCAGATGATAGTATTAATTATAAGTTTGGCTTTTTTAATTTTCATATTACAGTCATACCTCTTTATAATCACACTTTTGGGACCATAATAACTTTTTTAAAAAAATGTTTTTGTAAAGAGGTGTGCTTATATAGAGGTCTTTTGTTATATATTAGATAGTAATTGGGTGAAAATATAGTTGTGATTATAAAGAGGTTTTTATATAATGTGATTATAAAGAGGTATGACTATATATAATTTTGAAATATATATAGAATTTTTTAGAAGAACTAAATAAAACTCTGTATAAGAACTTTAATTAAATATTTAAATGAATAAAAATCTTTTTTTTATTTCTCTAAGACTACGTGTACACTAATATATAAAGTTAATATTTTTTTTATTCAAGACAATTTTATGTTTACACGATAGTTGTTAGATGAATCTTTCTTTTTTGCATAATAATGCAAGTTGAAATATAAATCTCAAAGATAAAGCCTCTAACGAAAGTAGAAACTCCAAATTCTTCTGATGAAACTTTATACTTAAAATGAAGAAACCCTATACTTAAAAAGACAACCCACAAAATAAATTTGTAAGATCACAAACAATTTCTCTTTAGAACTAATATATAGCATACTAGTATATATGTTTGATGTCATTTCACAATTTAGGTCAATTTTGAATTGACCTAGGTCATTCTTAAATTTTCACTGATTTAGAAATAAATTGGGTCAATTCATAATGCAACACGACAAAGCTTTAGGATCTCACCATTTGCCACTGGAGTATAATCAATCTTTGGCATAACAAATAAACACCTGCTAAATATACTTATATAAATATATTAGTTTGTGCTTATTTGTCATACAAAGATTGGTCACAACTACCACCGCTTTATCTACGCACAAGAATAATAGAATCACAAGATCGGTTGTATATCAGAATCCCGACATACAAAATCCCAATATACAAAATCCTGGCAACAAAATCCCAATATACAAAATCGTGACAAATTAAAATTCTAATTTTAATATCTTTAGAATTTTAATTTGTTGAGATTTTGTTTATCAGGATTTTGTTGCCAGGATTTTGTGTTTTGGGATTTTGTATATCAGGATTCTGATATACAACCCACAAGATTACAAGATTTTTGAAGAAATAATTGATGTTTTTTTTCATATTTATTCAACTTAGAATTTATTTAATTATATTACTAAAAGTTTTATTGTAAGTCAAATTATATATATAAAATGCATTTACAATACATATTTAAAGTTTCATATTTGAATTTTTTATGCTATCTGCTAGTATTTTGTTATATTCACCAAGTTTTTAGAAGCTATTTTGCTTGTTTAAAATCTTTAAAGTTCAATTTAATACTTCAAAACCATTTTTCTGTTTAAGAAGATTATTAGATTTTTTAATACTGAAACAAAATTAATAAATATATTCAAATATGAAAATATAATAAAAAAGTTTTTTCATACCCATGAAAAGTTTTTTTGTATTTTTTAAAATTTCAGATTTGGATTCACTATTAGTACTTCAATTTTTCATTATTTTTCAGATTGATTGTTGAGTAATTGATTAAAGTTGATATTTGATTATTTTTCTATAAAGTTTTTTAGCTTCTGTAACAAGAGGATATTGAGAATTTTATTGTATCAAAATTAATATAATATTAGATTTAGAAAAATTTTTAAACCATAATATATTGACAATGAACTTGTAAAAGCTTTATTCATCTAATTATAACTATTGAAGAAATATTTACAACTATCTCAAAATCTATAGACATATTGTTTTTCTTTTAACATCTATAAGTTAATATAAACTATATATTCAAGCCTTTCAGATCTTATAACATTTTCTTTTGCATGTGAATATTATTTAAAATTTGATTCTCACATTTTTGTTTTTTTTGCTTTCATTATATGGATTGTATGCTTAAAACATGATTTATTATTTTAAAATAAAATTTTTGGTTTCTTAATTTGACAAAATAAACAAAATAGTGTCTTATTTAAAATATTATGATATTTAAGAAAATAAAATTTTCATTAAAAATTGGTATTATTCTTACATATATTGATCAAATATCATCATTATTATATTAATCATTAATTTTAATATTGGCAATAAAATTTAAGCATAACTGATTTTGTCAAGTAGAAAGGGTTCATAAAAAATTTAATAAGAATTAGAACTCAGAATTATTACTTTATTATGCTACAAATGTATAAAATTTAGGACTCAGAATTATTAATTTATTATACTATGAATGTATTACTTATGTATGACATTTAATTAATGCAAAAGATGAAAAAAAATCTTTCTTATTTTCATTAATTTATTATACAACAAATGTATTACATATGGGAACCCCCATAGCAAAACAAGGCAGTGGGCAAAAAAATTTTTTTTTAAAAAACTTAATTTCTCGAAGAATTGAAGTATTAGAAATGCAATTTTTATAAAATTACAAAATCAAAATTTTTTGCCCACTGCCTTTTTTTGCCGTGGGGGTCCCTATATGTCATTTAATTAATGCAAAAGTAAAGAAAAAAATAAATAGTCTTCAAATTTATAATTTTAAATAAGTTTTTCCTATTTTCATTATTAATTTTTAAAAATAAAACAATACAACTTTCTGTTATGTGAAACCTTTAATTGAATATTAGAAACTTTTATTAGTCAAAGAAAAACAATCATAGTTTAATGAATTAAAATAAATACAATCAATGTTTAAATATATTTAAAAATCTAACTGACTTACGAACTCCAAATTTTAAATATTAGGTGATTCATAATTTTAAAATTTTTTATGTTGGTACAACTAAAGAACTTCATATAATTAAGCCAGCTGAAAATAATCTGGGGATGCAAGTTTGCTCTATTGAAAATTTTTATGAAGTAATTTGTACCGCATACCAAGCAATGGAACATGCTAGTTAAGACAAAACCTGGCAAAAGGTTTTTTTTTTTTATTCTTTTATTTTATTCTATTATTTTATTTATAGTTACTAATTTAATTAAAATTTATCATTATAATTGTTTAGGGGCCATGAATACTCAATATTGTAGTGCACATAAATCAATTCCATATAAAGTGATATTTGAACAGCTTCCTCATTGTAATACCAATTTAATAAATTTATACGAAAATGAAGAGTTATCTAATAATAATGCTCTAATATCTGAAGGCTCTCAATTAACTATTATTTCAGATATTAGTAGTGAAATGTTTGAATCAGAATTTCATAGTAATATAGATATAGATGAACTACAAAATATCACTGATCCATATGATCAAGATATTAGTGAACAAAATAATTTAGATAATCAAGACATTGATATTAGTGTACAAAAAATTTATAATAATTTATTATCATTATATTTAGAAACTAGAGAAGGTTCTAAAAACTCACTAGCTCAAAAACTTACTAAAATTATTAATTCAGATGATAATTTTGAATTTGGCAAAGGTTCTAAAAACTTACTAGCCTCTAAAGTTATTGAAATTATTGATTCAGGTGATGATTTAAGTAAAACTCGATGTTATACTGTGAAAGAAAAGAAAAAATAGTGAGCTCAATCTGATGCAATTAAGGTTAACTAAATTATTTATTTAAAAAAAAATTTTTAAAAAAAAACAAATAAATAAGTAAATAAGTATAAAAAATATTAATAGTAAAATTTTTTTTTGTAGCCAAATTTGACCTGTCTATCTTTTGAAAAGCATGAAACAGTTCGTCAATCAACAGTTTTAAATATAAAGAGAAACCGTGAGCTTATACGAAGTAGAATGGAAGAAAAATATAAAGTTAAATGTAGTAGAATATTTGAGCCTGGTAAATTTATAAAAATTCATATGCCTGATAATAACAAAATTAAAATAAGTCAAAGATCCTTACCCTGCAAAGTACTTCAAAAAAAGCCTAATATTAACTTGCTTGCCAGTATGGGATAGTTGATAATTGGTTTTTGGCATATGAACTTGAGCCACTTGAAACTTCTGATTATCCTTCTCTTAATATAGTTTTTTTGAAAAAAACTATTTTGTTAAGACAAGCAAGCTTTAAACAAACTGATGAACTATTAAATTAATTATCAAGCCAAAATAATAATGATGATGATATTTTTATTAAGTAAGTAGTAATTTATATAAAATATATGATGTTACAATATGCTAATACTGTTGAACCTCACCAAACTGATATACATGGTGGGCAAAATTTGTATCAGTATTGAGAGATTATCAGATTTGATAACATTATAAACTAATAGATTTATATAATGGAAATGGACTTGGTAGACTAATTTTCTATTAGATTTGACAGGTTATCAGTTTTAAGAGGATCGATTTTGGGAGGTTCAACAATAATTATTTATAATAATTTAGCAATAATCAATCGCTTCAAAATTATTGTTCTAATGCAAATAGTTGCCGCTGCCAAAAAACCAAATACTCTTCGAAGACATGTTTCGACCAAAAGAATAACTTGCTATATTCATGATGATGTGGGTGTGTTCTTTGTGGTGATTGTAAGAATAGATAAGATTTTTTTACAAAATTTACAGCGAATTTTTTATATGCTTTTATTGTGCTTTTTTTTAGATTGCTATAATTTATGCAAATTTCTTTTTATTTTTATATTGTAAAATTTTATATAAATGCTTTTCAATATAATTAATATTTTTTATTGGGCATACAATTTTTAAAAGTAAGTTTGCATAGTAATGAAAAAATAAGATGCCAAATTGAAAATTAATGATAATATCTTTTTTTTGAAAAGATCATTATATCGAAAAAAATGGAACATCAAAAAAAATGTAATGTCAGAAAAAATAGGATGTCAAAAAAATAAAAAAAGGTTTTTTTTTATTATTTTTTATTATTTTTTATTTTATAATAAATTCAGCAGTTATGCTAAAACTTTATTAAATATAACTCACTTGACTATACTATCTCGTGTGACTGTTTAAAACTAAAACACTAGCTCTGAACATTTAAATTACAAGTTTTGGCTAGCTCAGTTACTTCAGAAGCACTTATTCCCGACTTGCTATAGCAGTTTTCACCTCCTTATATACTCTTTCTGCAATCGAAAAAGTATATATATCAACAGTAAGCGCTACGGCTCATCATGACTGCTAATTTCTTTAAAACCCTCCTTTTTTTAATATCCAAGCAAGAGGATTATGCAATCCTTGCCTCAAGAACAACAAGTATACTAAAAAAAACTAAACTAATAAAAGATAGATAAAAAAAAGGGGAAGATACTACAAAACCTAAATGAAACCAAATAATAAAAGAAAGAAAAATAAAATGATAAAAAAAAGGGAAGAACAAAAAGAAAAAAAACAAAGACAAAATAGCACCAGATATACCAGTGTTGGTAAAGTTTAAAAAATTATTTAATACTCCATAAAACAATTCTCATCTTCACTTTACTTTGGTATTAAAATATGCTTTATATGTGGAGAATACCAAACTTTTTTTTGTTTACCCTAGTAATCCAAAACCAACAGGTTGCTATCGTTTACGTGTCTATCTACAGTCTTCAGGGGTATAGTACGTAATTTCCTTGTAACTTGCCATCCCGATTTGGCAATATAAACAATGTTGATCTTTTATAGGGGGATATGCTAAAATTCCTACTTTTTGGAAAAAATTTGAAGAAAAACACCAAAAAACCAGGCAGGAATATGGAAGGTGGTTTGCAAAGTTAGGTACTTTCAAAATTTTCAAAGGAGTGTGTTAAGATCCACAAATATTTGTTGTTTCCTCTGTGTTTTTGTTAACAGCCTAGGAGCTTCATCGATGAAGAAGACTTTGTCTCTCTACCAAGATTTTTTATACAAGAACACCGCCTGCCAGTTATCTTGTAAAATAACGCTTTTGGTTTGCATACCAAATGTTTTTTAGAGGAGTCCTATGAACTGAGAAAGTGTTGACCTCTAGACAAACTGCTATATAGACCACAACTTTCCAACAAAATTTGTATTTTTTTTTTAGTAAAAATTTTGGTATGAGTGATCGTCAGAAAGAGTAGATTGTTTTTTTTTTTTTAAGTTATTATTTTTTTTTTCTAGACCAATTTTTTTAAACTTGTTTTTTTTTCTCTTGTTTTTTTAACCCACTCTTTTTTTGAATATTTTTTTTTTTTTTTTTTTTTGGATTGCTAGTTACCAATTAAGAAATAACCCAGGTTATTTCAAAATTTAAAAATGACTTAGATCAATTTGAAATCAACCTAAATTGTAAAATGAATTAGAATATATACAACATAGAGTGCTTATTTTTTTTTTGTTAGTTTATTTTTTATATATATATTCTTTAATAAAATGAGTTTTAACAACATTTATCATATCTTCATCTTTTGTTTTGTCACCCTTTACAGCTTTGTTAATTTTGTCACCTTTCATTGGCTCCATCACCTTTTGTCAGTTTCATTATCTTTCATCAGTTTTATTATTTCATTATTTAAGATTTTAATTGACTTAAGATAAAATTAGGTTTTGTGTTTTGTTAGCACAAAACCTCAAGTTTTGTCTAACTATCAGTGATTGTAATGTAAATTTCAAAAATTTATCATTTAGATGAAACATAAAATTAATAAACTAATTTTATTTAATTAAAATAAAATACAATAAATCTACACGTATTTAATTTTTTTAACTCTTTGTAAGTGCACTTTTTTTTTCGAAACTCTATAAGTATACTTGACTGGTTGAATTAATTTATATATATTCTACAAATGCACTTTCTCTTAACAATGCATGTTTATAAAGGGTTGACTATAAAATAACTCAAGTATATAAGACTTGTTCTTTTATATAGCATTACTTACAGTATAAATCTACTTTTCAATTGTAAATTAAAAATAAAAATCTTGTAAGTTTATGTTGTTAAGAAACTTTACAAGTTGGTGCAAAGTAAAAAAGTTAGTGCAAAGTAAAAGAAGTCAGTGCAAGGTAAAAGTAACTTAGTTCTTAGTCAGAATTTTAAAAATTTACCTGTTATAGATTATAAAACAAAAGGGCATCTTTGAAGGCATGATTCTTTTCGAGTTATTATTATTTTTTACTCTAAAAACATAATGATAATAAAGTATTTGTAATGCTAAATTGCTCACGTTGTTCAGAATGCAGTTTTTTTTTATGAAACCCCTGAAAATAATGGCCTATCATTGCAATTTACTATAAAAATTGAGAATTTCATATGAGTATCGATCACTCAAATTTCATAGTAAAAATTTTATTCACCTGATCTGCATGACATCTCGATCGACTGGTATAGGTATATACAAACTACCCCAGTAGTACCAACAGATTTTCACTGATTGACATAAATTGACCAATTAGATTTTAAGATTAGGTGTAACCAGTATTGGAAATCCATGTTCATGGTGTTCACAGTGAACATTAGTGTTCCTATTGAACCTAGGTTCAAAGTTCATGAACATGTTCAAAGTTTTGAATAAAGAAAAAAGCATATAAT